GACAACTTCATTGCTACTTGTGAACAACCAGGCAACAAATACGATCGCAACATATTCGAGATCGAAAAGATGAGCCAGCGGCTGCGTGAATGCGTCCGGTGTTTCTCGGAGATGCGCATCAAGGTCCCATCAATCTCGACAACGAGGCAATCGAGGCTTTCATCACTGGCCTCCGCTTCCACGATGCCCTAAGGGACAAGCTCCTCCACAAAAGACCTGATTCGATCCACACGCGCTCTCGGCCACCGCTAAGAAATACGCGGACGCCGATGACGCTAAAAAGATAATTATTGAAGAAGCAGCAAGGGTTCCGCGCTCCGACCACCCCCCACACCGCGACGACTACCACGGCAACCGTGGTCGGAACGACAATTTTGACCACCGCAACCAGCGCAACGACTCCCGTGACCACCGTGACCAACGTAATCAGCGGCGTAACCGCCGTGACGATTACAAGAGCAAGCGTGCTCGGGAAGACGACGGCGAGGTCAACACCGTTAAAAAGGGTGGCGGACGTCGTAACTATGAAGACGACTACGCCAAGGCATTGAAGGGCCCTGCCAACTCCATCCTAAGTCAAACCATACCATGGAGAATTGCCACGTCCTCAAGTCTATCTACACGCGTCAACAAGCTCTGGATACGTCCGACAAGCCTAACGACGCAGGGGAACAGCGCAACGAGGATAACGACGACGATGATGCGAGACCCCGTCACAAAGTCGTCAAGCCAACCGATCGTGCACACCATCATCGGAGGCAAAGTGTCCATCGAGACCAAACGAGAATGCAAGCTGCTTTCGCCCGCTTGCTTGAATGTAGCCAACACCGACAATCTCCTCACCGATCCGCGGCTCCCTCCGTGGTCTCACCGCGAAATCTCCTTCAGCGAGAAAGGACCAATGGGCATAATACCGAGCTGTGTGTTTTCCCGGTCCTCGATCCTTGTATCAACAAAGTTCGGTTCGACAGAGTACTTGATCGACAATGGCAGCTCCATTGATATATCGTTCAAGAACGATCGCCCGCCACGAAGATAGCTCAGGCGGACCTCAAGCCACTCGAGGCACAGTTAAAGGTGTTCTCCCCGCGACGAGCTCTACACCTCCTGGGCGAGATCACGCTACCGATGCAGTTTGGGGACCCCGGATCACTTCCGCACCGACTACGTCAACTTCGTGGTTGCCCGACTTCACGCCACACCTACCATGCTATTCTTGGTCGGCCGTCGCTCACCAAGTTCATGGCCATACCTCATTACGGTATCTCGGTGCTCAAGATGCCTACCGAGAAAGGAGTTCTAACCCTCGAGGCAACGTTTACGCAGCTTATACTGCGAAGATGATGATTTCAAAATAGCGAGGCTCCACGACCTCTCTATTCGCATGGCGAGAGACCGTGCTCAGCGCCAAGAAGACCTCGATCGACCACCGGGAGATCCGGGAGCTCGAGGCTCCACGCAAGAACATCAAGTCCAAGGAGCACAAGGTGATCCAATTTGGTCGACGGTGATCCCAAAAGATGGCCCTTATCGGGCCAACCCGATCCCAAATAGGAAGACACGCTCGTCGAGTTCTTGAGGAGCAACGTGGATGTGTTCGCATGGAAACCTTCTGACATGCCCGGTGTATCTCGGAACTTGATTGAGCACTCCTTGAATGTCAACGGCAAGGCCAAACCTACCAAGCAGAAGCTACGACGGTTCACTCGCGACAAAAAGGAGGCGATTAGGGTAGAAGTTACACGGCTTTTGGCAGCCGGATTTATCAAAGAAGTGTATCATCCGGAGTGGTTAGCCAACCCGGTTCTTGTAATGCAAAAAGAATAATAAATGGAGAATGTGCGTTGATTACACCGATCTCAACAAACACCGCCCTAAAGACCCTTTGGCTTACCTCCTCGCATAGACGAGGTCGTAGATTCAACCGCCAGTTGCGAGCTCCTTTCTTTTCTCGATTGCTACTCTGGTTATCACCAGATCGCTCTCAAAAAGGATGACCAGATCAAGACATCTTTTATCACGCCCTTCGGCGCCTACTGCTACACGACCATGTCGTTCGGGCTCAAGAACGCCGGGGCTACCTACCAACGCTTATATAAGCTTGCTTGCCTCAAAGACGAGATAAAAGATGACCTCGTCGAGGCTTACGTTGATGATATAGTTGTCAAAACCAAGGAAGCTCATACCCTTGTTGACAACCTGGGATGCACTTTTGCAGCCCTTAACACATTCCAGTGGAAATTAAACCCAAAGAAGTGCATCTTTGGTGTTCCTTCCGCATACTCCTCGCAACGCGTCGTCGTTACCGCGACGGCATACGCCCTAACCCGAAAAAAGTCAAAGTTGTTTTGACATGAAGCCGCCCAAAAGGTGAAGGATGTTGAAGCTTACGGATGTATGGCCGCTCTCAACCGTTTCATATCAAGATTAGGCGAAAAAGGATTACCGTTCTTTAAACTACTCAAAGCGTCCGAAAAGTTTGAGTGGTGGGAGGAAGCGTGACGTTGCCTTCACACAACCGAAACAATACCTTACGTCACCTCCGGTACTCAATGCTCCAAGAGAAGACGAAACACTCCTGCTATACATTGCGGCTACCAATCGAGTGGTCTCCACGACCATGGTGGTTGAGCGAGACGAGCCCGGCCACGTCTACAAGGTACAACAGCCAATCTATTTCATTAGTGAGGTACTCAACGAGTCCAAGACCAGGTACCCACAGATTCGAAGGTTGATCTACGCCATACCGATAACATCCCGAAGGTTGAAACACTACTTCGGCGGATATCGTGTGGTGGTCGTGGATCGAGTACCCTCTCATGAGACATCATTAGCAACAGGGATGCGAACGGGCGCGATCGTCAAATGGGCAATGGAGCTATGCCCCTTTTCCTTGGAATTTGCAAGTCGCACTACAATCAAGTCTCGTGCACTTGTCGATTTCATCATCAAGTGGATGTACTTAAGCACGCCTGCCTCTCCGGATCCGACGAATATTGGACGATGTACTTGACGGCTCTCTCAACATTGACGGTGAGGGAGCAGAGTCCTTTTATATCACCGTCCAAGGAGCAGCTCCATGCGTCCTCGAGTTTATTTCCCAAGATCTAATAATGCCACCGAGTACGGGCGCATGCCTACATGGTTTGCGCATTGTGGTTGAGCTTGGCGTTAAACGTCTCTACGCCTATGGAGACTCGCTCGGTCATCAACCAACTCAACAAGGACCGGACACGACCAAAGAAAAGATGAAAGCATACCTTGCAATTTGATCGTAAAGTCGAAGGCGTTTCTATGGCATCGAGTACATACATGTGGTCCCGGACAAGAATCAAGCAAGAAATGCAATCATCAAAGTTAGGATCATCCCAGCAAAAATCCCACATGGCATATTCGTCCAAGACCTGCACACGCCGTCCCATCGAAGAGAAAGATTCCATGGCGGATAAGCCTCCGCACCAGCAATTGGTGGCTACGATTCTCGCGCCAAGCACCGCCGAGCCCTCCTCCGACCACTCATGAGCCCGACCGAGAATACCTTTCATCAAGTACCTAACAGATGGCAGCGGTTACACCGATCGACGGACAGAAAACGAGCGCTGATGCGTCAGCATGGAAGCGTGACCGCCGTTGATGGCAAGCTATGGCGCAAGAACGCATAAAGAGGAAATCTTGATGAAGTGCATAACCTAGGAGGATGGCGAACATCTCCTGGACCAAATCCACTCTGGCTCCTGCGGCAACCATGTGGCCTCAAGAACGCTGGTTGGCAAGGCTTTCCGAGCATGGTTCTATTGGCCGTCAGCAGTATCCGACGCAGAGAGGCTAGTCCGCCACCGTGAGGGTTGTCGGTTCTTCGCCAAGAGAATCCACGCACCAAAGACATGAGATCCGTGCATAATACCAGCCTCCTGCCCTTCGCATGTTGGGGACCGGATATGATCGGACCCTTCAAACCGGCTCCAGGGAAATTTACATGTGTCTTCGTCTTTGATCGACAAATTTTCTAAGTGGATAGAATACATGCCTTTGGTACAGTATCCTCGTAAAAGGCTGTCATGTTCCTCGACCGTGTCATCCACCGTTTTGGCATACCGAACAAAGATCATAACCGATCTGGGTACTCGGTTCACCGGGAACGCTTTTTGGGACTTCTGCGATGAAAGGAGCATAGTAGTAAAATACGTCCCGGTGGCGCACTCTAGAGCTAATGGATAGGTCGAAAGGGCAAATGGCATGATCTTGGACGCGTTGAAGAAGAGGGTGTATAGAGAAATGACAAGGCTCCGGAAGATGGCTCAAAGAGTTACCACCGTGGTGCTGGGACTCAGAACTCAATTTCACCAGAATAACACTGTCTCGCCATACTTTATGGTTTACGGCGCTGAGGCGGTCCTCCCTGCAGATATATCTTTCAGATCAGCACGGGTAGAGAACTTCGACGAAGGCAAGGCCAATGAAGTATGGGAGCTAGAAGTGAATAGCGCAGAAGAGAAGCGGCTCGATTCTTGTGTACGTGACGCCAAATACCTTGGTTGTTTTTGCGCAGTACTACAACAAGAACGTTAAAGAGCGGTTTTTGTGGTCGGAGACCTGGTCCTCAAGTGGAAGACGAACCAGTCGGGTGTCCATAAACTCGCAACCCCATGGGAGGGGCCCTTCATGATCAAGGAGGTCACACGACCAACGTCT